AAGAAACTAAAAATTCCATTAAAATCTGGAAAAACCATTTTTTTTTTGTTTTTTGTTTTTGTTTTTTTTTTTTGTACCAGGGATCAAACTCAGGACCTTGAGCTTGCCAGTTAAGCACTTACTCCACTGAGCTATCTCCCCAGCCCCAACCATTTGTTTTTTGGAAAAACTATTTGAACAAACCTGAAGATAGACTTTCAGAACTTGAAAATCTGTCTTTCAGACTTCATTCTGCTAGTGACCAGGAAATGAAAGATCTCTTAAAAACAACAAGAAACCCAGAAATAATAATTCAACAGCTACAAGATGACATAAAGATGAACAACATAAAATGACATAAAGATGAACAACATAAGACTAATAGGTGTCTTATGAAAAAGGAGTCAATGCAAATAACATAAAAAGACTATTTGCAGAAGTAATAGAAAACTTCCCACTATGGGGAAAGGGTATGACATATAGTAAGTGAGGCATATAGAACTCCAAATAGCATCAACCAAAATAAATCTACACCAAAATGTGTAATAAGATTCCAGAAATTCAGCACAAGAACAACATACTAAAAACTGTTAGAGAAAAATAAAAGATCACATTTAAAGGAAAACCCACTAGAATCACAGATTTTTCAACACAAATCATCAAGTCAAGAAGAGCTTGAAGTACTTCAAGTCCTAAAAGCAGACAACTTCCAATACAAACTGATATACCCTGCAAAACTCTCAATTTTTTTTTTTTTTTTTTTTGTACTGGTGATCAAACTCTGGACCTTGTACTTTCCAGGCAAGTGCATATGTGACTGAACTATCACCCTAGCCCTCTCTTTCAAAATTAATGGAGAAGTAAAACACTTTCATGACAAAGACCAGCTAAAGAAATTCATGACCACCAAACCAACCCTATAAAGACTACTGAAAGATATTCTAGAAAGAGATAAAAATGACCAACATCAGAAAATAACTTGACTAGGATAAGCCAATACGTATCAATTATAATCAGCAATGTGAACAGGCTTAATCCACTAGTTAAATGAAATATACTGTCAGGGAGAATCAAAAAACAAAATCCAGCAATATGCTATATACAGAAAACACATTTAACTCAAAAGGAAATTTATAGGCTGAAAGTCAAAGGATGGAAAAACAATACTTTGTGTGCCAGGAACTCAGAAAGAAGCAGGACTAGTGTCTTCGTTACTTTTTACTGGTTGCTGGGACAAATACCGAACACTCAAAATGAGGGAAGGAAAGGTTTATTTAGCTCACAGCTACTGGAGGGTTCAGTCTATATTCCGCTGGCTCCAAGGCAAACGACAGCAGTTCATGTGGCAGAAAACAATGAAGAGCAGAGGAGGAGCAGCAGCTGTGGCAGCGTCCGTCAAGCCTCTCTCTTCCTTCTGCGCTGAATGCGGAAGACCAGCGCTCCACAGTGAAGATTGGAGCTCCTCCAAAGTAGCGTGGTTGCAAAGGTCCAGCTCCTCTGAAGACTGGAACTTCTCCAGGGAAGTGGGGCGGGTTGGCAGGTTGGCAGGGTGGCTTCCTGCCTTTCTCAATTCCTGGGCCTTGCCCACGTGCAGGGCTAGGGCCCCATGCTGAGAACTGCCAGAGCTGATTCAGCCAAGTTGACACAATGTATCAACTAACACAAGTAGTTATTCTGCTTACAGACAATGCCAACTTCAAACCAAGAATGATCAGAGAAGATAAAGAAGTTCATTGCAGACTGGTTAGGGCAAAAATTCAGATTAAGAGATAAAAATCATAAATATATATGTACCAAATATGGGAGCACCCAATGATATAAGATAAGTTTTAAAGGACATGAAAAATCCAGGGGCCTGCCCCTTAGCTCAGTTCTTTAAGTGGCTGCTCCAACAAAGCAGTCAGGCTCAGGTTGCTGTGGTTCGATCCCCACAACTCAAACCAGCCAAACCTGCCCTAAAGGCATTTGGAGGAAAAAAAAAAAAACCCTTCTGAAAAATCAAATAACCAATAACATAATCTTAACAGGGGACCTTAAAACCCCATTATTTCAAAGAGCTAGGTAAGCTAGACAAAGAATCAGCAAAGAGGTAGCAAAAGTGAACCAAACCTTTGAACAAATGGATTTAGTGGACACTTACAGAGTATTCCACTCAACAATGTCTGAATACACATTTTTTTAAGCTGTACATGGGACATTCTCTAAAATAGACCAAACAATAGTCCATAGATCATTCTTAAGCAAATGTAAGGGGCTGGTGAGATGGCTCAATGGTCTAAAGCACCTACTTAGAACAAGCTTAGCAAAGCACAGGGACCGCGGTTCAATCCCCCAGCACCACATGCTGGCCAGCCCCGCCCCCTGG